AAAAACCAGTGATGCACAAGGGAACTGCTCAGCACCCACTGACCAATGCCCAGCCTGTCCCCGGGAGGCATCTCCCAGTCAACTCCCCCAGTTCATGTACTGGGCATGATGTTCTGGGCTCTGGAATATCCCTCTGACCCGTTCGGGTCACCTGTCCTGGTCGTGCTCCCTCCTGGTTTCTTGTGCAGCTCCTCCCCGGCAGATCATGGGCAACTGAAAGGTCCTTGACTTGGGGTGAGCACGACTGAGGCACAGCCAAAACACGGGTGTGTCATCAATGTTATTCTCATCCTAAATTCACACCACCCTGGCTCTCATAAAGCCCAGCAAAGGCCCTGGGGTGGATCACAGGGGAGCAGCAGGGTTCAGCCCTTGTTCCAGCAAACCCCAGGGAAGGCAAAGGGTTGGCAGTTCACAGCCTCCTGTCTCTCTTGGCTGCCCCCCCAGATCTTCTCAACTGCCTTCTCTTCTCTAGTCCTGTGCCCACCCCATAGATTTTACTCCCCTTTTCTCTTGCAGAGTGAACCCTGAGAAAAAGACCTGGGACAGAAGAAGCATGGGATTCATTGGAGGAGCTGGTAAGAGCTGTGTTTCTTCTGTTTGAACAGTGATAGAAGGGGAAATATGTGATTTTAAAAACCCCAAGTACATCAGAGGTTTGAGCAGTAGAAGGGATATATGTGTCCCAAAACAGCTCCTTCATGCATTCGTGAAATCCAGAGGGAAAAGTCCTAGTGAAGTTTCCTTTTTTTTTTCTTTCTGTGTGAACCCAGTGGGCAGAAATGGAGAGCTGGTGGCAGAGTGTCCTAAGAGACGTATTTGGGTTCATAAGTAGGTGTGCTGGATCCCATTTCTCTTGCCTGGGGCCATCTGAAAGTCTTTGAGAAGACAGGCCCAAATGAAAAGGCCAAGGGACAATGAAGGGCCCTGGGAGGTCTCTCTCCACTCGTGCAGTGTGGAGGAGGAGTGTCTCACACTTTGGGGTGACTCTGTTCTGGTGGGACTGTGCTGAGGCACCTGTGTGGTGCCTGAATGCTGTGGCAGCCGA